GCTATTAATACATCTATGACCATGACCCACTTCTACTTTCAGAATACCTATCAACCTCTCGCCTTAACCACTCTGAATCTTTATCCATCCTTTCTCTAATCCTCTTTGCTCTCTCAAACAGTTCATCATCATCATCATCAACCAGTCCACGCTTTGTTCCGGAATCAACTGCCATAACAGCTCTAGCTCGCTCTTTCAGACGCTGGATATCTTCATCGCCAGTTGGTGCAGGAAGAAGTAATTGTTGAGCAGTTTCCCTAGCGGGGCTGCTTCTTGGTATTGATTGCTCTTTTGGTACCATCTGTCTTCGAAGTCTAATGGGCTTACCACTATCCTCGAAAGATTGTTTTTGGCGTAAAGGGTCTTTCGCTACAGAAGTAGCAAGAGGCGTCCCATTAGGAAGAGTGCTAATGCCTCTGGCTTTCAATCGGAAATAATCCGTTTGTACACCACTAAGCTGTGACCGAGTCTCGTTTTCCGCTTGATAAGTGGGCAAAAGATGAATTCGAGATCCTCCATTCAGGAAAGAAGGATCCGAGAGTAGTGTACGTTGTAAAGAATTATCATACTGACTGCGTGTATGCGTGTTTGAACTCGAATCCGATGCGATAGAAGATACAGAAGACTTGAATCGTTTGTTGCCATGTTCGGTATGTCCATTGTACACAATCTCTCGTATCTCGTCCTGTGGGTTGTGTACACCTTCAAGAACCCCAGTTCCTTGCAAAAGACTCCCCAGGCTTGGTCGTCGACCTTTGGAAGGACTGTTTTTCACTCGCTTTTTACCCTTTGAAATGGAAACTCTAAAGTCGTCAACAACGTTTGCCGAAAGTGCAGCTCTGGAGGCTCTCATGCTTTCAGCATGTTCTATCCGAGCTCTTCTCGCTTTGCTCCCCTGTCGGCGTACCCATAAGTTATGGGCGTTGACCCGCCAAATATTGAAATATTTCACGGCTACTGCGTTACGACGGAACTCATCAGCTTCCTTTCGTGCCAATTCCTCCTCCTCTTCGGCAATTCGCTTAGCCTCCTTTCTTGCTTTCTTGGCCTCCTCTTTCATGAAATTTTCCATTGTTTCTTGTACTAAAGTCTGGACGGTATATGTCATGAATTGCTCAACGATTCCATCCTCGCCGAGGGCAATCCATTTTGCAAAATTGTCTAATGGGGAGACTTCAGGTGCGGGTATGTGAATAACAGGCTGCGGAGTTTCTTTCACGGCAGGTTTGAATAAATTGTTGAGATCTGGCTGTGGTACTGGAACAGATGGAGTGGCTTTCGCGGTTTCAGATGCAGAAGACTGCGCTACCGGTTCGGATGACATGGATTGAGGTACAGGTTTAAAATTGGAACTCCAATCATTGAATTTGGGCTCAGTGATCTGCGGGGCTGGAGCTGGAGGAGCTGGAGTTTTGATTGCAGATGATTGAGAAAGTTTCGGACTTTCTGTGGGAGTTGTTCGGGGTAGGCTTGAAGAGGCTGGATTGTCTGAAGGCCAACTAAAATTTGGTGGATCTGTAGAAGTTTGTGGTAGTTTGGGAGATGCTCCATTATCTGATGGCCAGGTAAACTTCGCTGGCTCTTCAGCCTTAGATTGGGGCGGTGGCGTATTCGTTGGTGTCGCTGCAAAGGGATTATGCGAAGCGAATGGAGTAGATGCAGCGACCGGAGCTGGTGGGGCGAATAAACTAGAGGGAGCGTTTGCATCCTTCGGCTTCTCTGACGAGGGTTTAGTGGCGGGCTGGGTAGTATTTGCCTGACTTGCGGATGGGAAGCCGAATAATGGCGTGGCTGGAGACGTCGCAAAAGCCTGCTGAGGTGGTGTTTGTGCCACTGGAAAGCCGAGGGACTTTGACGGTTGAGAAAATGTACTTGCTGGTGAGAATGAGTTCACACCCCCCATATTGAAAGGTCCTCTTATGTTGTCCTTCACAAACAGTCCATCGTCGGAACTTGATTCTTCACCCTGAGTTGTCGTTGCCGAAACCCTTTCGTACACAGTCGTATCGATCACCTCCGTGAGAGTGTGACCAGCGCGTTTTCGCTCGACAACTTCCACGGAATGGGGCTGCTTGATCGGAGGAAATGGATCAACGACTTGATTATCCAAGGCTAATGATAAGCAGGGATCATCATCTAGATCGTCAAATCGGAGGCTATAAGCTTCGCCAAAGTCAACTATCTCCCATGGATCATCGAAGTGCAAGTATTGGTTCAGTTTAGCAATATTCCAGTCCTTCGGTTGATCACGCTGTCGCTGATAGGCTGACAATATCGTCTTCAATGCGTTCTTCCGAACCTCGTTGAAGTGCATCTCTGCGAAGCAAGCCATTGTATATGACACATTTTCCCCTTTCAGAATCGTGAAGAAGCGAGAGAAGGCATTTTCAGCAACGTTTAATAGTGAAAATGGTTGTAGCGGGCCCCGTGGGCTCCAGATATTTTGTAAACATTCAACTAAACCAACAGCAATCTTAATTTGCTCCGACTCTCCCCAAAATTTCCACCCCCAATTTTGTACTGTCTCCAGAATCCCGGGATTGCTACTATTAAGCAGTACATAGTATGCCCTAAACTCAGCTTCATTCTCGCAAGGTATATTTTGCAAATTGCAATCCTCATAAGCATGTATCAGCGAAAGGAGAGACTTGCTAAGCTGTTCAACCTCCTGCTGCTCCACAAAGTTCTCCGGTGCAACGTCAGGCTTCGACATCTGATGTAACGCAGTAACGTGGAACCGGGTGATCTTTTCAAGGCAGTAAACTTGATCAGCCAATTCTGGTGGGCTCATTGAGGATTGAAATACGAAATCCCGACGTATTGCACGTGTTCGATCCCACAAGAACTCATGTTGAGCTGCCAGGTTATCATCCTCCCCCAAAACTATGTCGATAAGATAATCGAGTGTTCGTCTGAGTGCAGCAGGTGAACGGACATCTTGAGGAAGTGGTGCATCTTCTCCTGCGGCAGATCTAGCCAACTTTTTGATCATCATTTGAGGCGAAGGACGCATGGATCCGTCGGGGGCTTGCTCCTTTTCGGCACGCTGAACATCATCTTCGATGATTCTTCGTATGATTTCTTCTTCTGGGCACATCTGGTCGCATGTTCCTTTGAAATCTATAGCTTCACTAAGTTTCTTTGGTTTGAGAGGATCATCGATGAAACCGCCTTTGATGAGGGATGCGCGGACGCGTGCTCGATACTTCTTAAGCTCATCTAAATAGTTCTTTACAGCCGCCTTCTCGCGAGGATCCCCTGGATTTTTCGCATTGCATCGTGGAGAATTGATTTTTTCTTTTTGTAAAAGGGCGTTAATCTTGGTGGCTAGCTCACTACTCGAGGCAAACGACGCCATATCCGACGGCGTGGATGAGGTGTTTTCGAAGCCTGACTTCGACTGGTTGGATGCTTTGTTCTTTTTATCTGTAAAGCCATTATTTGCTTGGAGTGGCTTTTTCAAGGCATTTTGCGGGGCAGGTTTCTCGGGCTTCTTCTCGAATGAGACTTGTTTTGAGGTCGCGCCTCTCGTTCCTTTCAGAATACTCGGGTTTTGAGAATTGACCAGGGAAGACAAAGGGACTGTGGAGCCACTCGATGGGGTGCCAAAGTTTGATGAAGGGGATGTAGTGCCAAAAGCATTTGAAGAAGCAAATGGGTTTAGAGCTGTAGGCTGAGCTGCACTTGCTGATCCGAAGACATTGGTGTTGGGAGAATTGGAGCTGGATGAAGGAGCAAATGGCGAGGACGAACTGCTTTTAGGTCCAGTAGGTGCCCCAAAGACATTTGTTGAAGTATTTGTATTTGTATTTGTAGTAAATGAGAATGGGTTGGAGAGCGTGGCGGTCCCCGTTCCAAAAGAATTATTCATATCTGAAGGTGTTGCGTTGGCAGGAGGGCCAGTTTGTTCCTCAATTGGTGGAGTCGCGAATCGGACCTGTTTATTGCTATGTAGCCCCCCGCGCGATGAACCTCTTCCTCTGGTATTGGTCGCAGTCCCGTTTTGGCCCCTCTGTTCGCGCTTCGCAGCATTCTCGAGTCGCGCTTTTTCGAATGGATCTGTCGTTGTTGACGCACTAGGGGGTGGTGTAGCTAAATGATCAAATTTGTGTGAGTTTCTTTCATGATAATAATAAGGTGAATGCTTGAGTTGATGAATCTTTAATTTCTAGCATGGGACTTCCCGTGATAAAGGTTGATATTGTCGGTCAATGCTTGTGATCTTGATGGATGCCATGAAAGTGGGATGGGGCTTACCAGAGGAGTTATTTGAAGCTCCTCGACCCGTCTGTCCGCGACCTCTTGATCCTCGTGAACTTTTGGAACTTCCTCGTGTGCCTCTGGCGTTACTGCTACTGAGCAGCATGGTTCGTGATATGGATCATGGAGAGACGGGAGAGGACGCGGAGAGAAATGTTTAGATTAATGTTCGTATTTACTTCCGGTAAATTTAATTTCAATTTTCGAATTTACTTTTCACCTGTCAATTGACCGTATTGAATTGTAACTATCGCAAGCTCAAAGATCTATAATCCGAGAACAAGGTTATCTACACGCTAAACTCTATACGGCAGTGTCAGGAATTCTGCCATTTGAGAGCCACCGCTACCAGTGATTCTTTTTCCTTTTGCAGTACGAAATTGGGTTTCAACACCTAGGTCGTAATAATAATAAAGTGTGAATGATGCGTTTTCGGGGGTTGGAAATGGATTCAAAAAATATTCCGATGTCATAAATGTGGTCAAATTTTGAAAATCAATGTGAGTGACTATCAAAGGTACGTTTATGGTTTTTAAAAGATGTAGATGTATATTTCTATTCTATGATAGCCCAAGACAAGTTCTAGAATGAAGGTCCCAATATACGCCATGATACCGCTTTCATTCTTAGATGTCATAACCTTGGGGAATTCCTAACTTTTCATAGCCTTTACCTGAACTCCCTGCACCATGTGAACCAGATACCAACCCACAACTCCTTATTTTTAGATGTCCTCACCATTACGCCCTTTGCGAACGATTGGCGCGACTGGCGCGACTACCGAAGCTGGTGAAGCGTGCTGGACCAAGACCCATTCTGACCTCATCCAATTGCTCCATACCAGTTTGGTATTTCATCTTCTTGACGTTCTTTTTACCACTCATGGAATGAGTGCCCAGGAAATCATCCAGAATGCCATCAAAGTCTTGACGAACATCACCTTCTACAGTGGAAACGGAAGACGAAGCCATCGAGACGGACGCCATGTCATCGAAGTCCTCGTTATACTGTTCCTCAATCTTCTCAAATCGTTGATCAAGTGTAGTAAGACCTTCAGTTCTGAATAGTGAGGACGATGTCATGGAGTATGCGGAAGGATTAGTCAAAGCACCCTTTCTCTTCTTGCGTCTTCCGCCATTTGTTGTGGTAGTAAATATAGATGACTGTAAATCTGCTTGTGAAGGCGTAGCTTGAGCCTTACTAGACTTTTGATCCTTCTTGAATTTACTGAAGTTTGCCATCCAATCCCCATCGCCATGATCCTCTCGCTCATCATCATCGATATCTTGGGTTGTAGCAGGTGCGTCCTTGTATTCTTGCGTAGGCTTTGCAGTGGCGTCCGATTCCCATCCATCTTCATCATCCCAAGTTTCATCAAATTCATATTCATCCAATTCCTCACCATCCTCTGCCAATTTTCCAAAAATTTCATCATCGTCGTCCACATAAGCCTCGTCTTCTAAAGCCTCCAAAACTTCCCTCAATCTCGGATCCATATCGGGTTGGAAACCAGCTAAAGCATCAGGGACATCTTGTTGTGCTTGGTAGGTGACCTTGCGAAGATTCTTGGATGGTAAGATCTCATCATCAAGAACGGCACCAGCCTTGTCTTCCAAACTTGCGTTCTTGAGCGCCTCTTCCAAAGATTGTTTTCCCTTGCCCTTGTTCTTATTCTTTGGCCCCGTAGCTTCGACAAAAGTTGATTCACCACCTCCACGGCCCAAATCGCGCATATGTTGCATGTAATCATATTCGGTATCGTCGTAATAAACACCGTAGTTTGCGGCTTCACCCTCGTTATCTCTGACACGCGCGATACCTGAACCAAGCTCGGCGGTTAAATCATCGAGTTTCTTGACTTTATTCGGATTGGGTGCGCTGGTGGGGTTTAGGACCATGGACGAAGCAGATTCATCGTGAATTAACGGATCGTTTTGAGGACGATGAACAAGTTGAAAATGTGTCGCATTCTTCTTGTCAATCCATTTTCCTCGAGCCATATTGCCGGTATTGCTTGGTAGTTGTAATGTTGAGAAACGGGTTTATTATCTTTCTGCTCGGACGAGGAATTCGGGGTTTACACAATTGCAGATATCAGATTTAGAAATCTACGTGTGTGGAAAGATTTAATTTTCTTAGTGCGAGGGGCTGCTTTTTTAGGCGGGTCAATCTTCTTTTATCACAGTACTAAGCCGAGAAATTTGCCCCTCATTTTTGCTCGATAATCAGAGATAATCAAAACTCCACCGTAAAATTATAAAATTCAATCATTCATTCTCAACCCCGCGAATTATTGAAACTTTCTTGTAGCGATTTTATTTCTATTATTACTTATCGAAAACAAACCGGCCCTATTGAAGAACGGATATAAGTAAACACGATGGTTCTCGCCAAATCCAAAAATGCAGTTGGACTGGGAAACAGTTTGATGAATGATAGATTCGGGAAGGGCAAAGGAGCAGATCGCAAAAAGACCACGGCGACTGGAATTCAGAGAACGCACAAAGATACCGGAGAAACCGTATGTATAAACTCGATCAATCTATCTTTCCATACTGAAAGAATATAGTATGTCACAAACGAAAAGCAAGAGGCCAGCTGGGTCAAGATGCGATCGGTTACGGAGCAGGCAGCACTCGATGAATTCTTGTCCACTGCAGAGTTAGCCGGCACAGATTTCACAGCGGAGAAGATGAACAATGTTAAAATTATTCACACCGATCAAAAGAATCCATACTTGTTATCGGCTGCGGAAGAACGAGCTGCAGTTGGTAAACAGAAGGTACATAAGGAAAGACTCACAGTTCCAAGAAGACCGAAATGGGATTCTACCACAACCCCACAAGAACTTGATAGAATGGAGAGAGATGGTCTTCTCGAATGGAGAAGAGGACTAGCTGAACTCCAGGAAAATAACGATTTATTGATGACGCCATTTGAGCGCAACCTGGAGGTTTGGAGGCAGTTGTGGAGAGTTATTGAGAGATCTGATCTTATTGTACAAATCGTCGATGCCAGGAACCCGCTTTTATTTCGATCTGAAGATTTAGAAAGATATGTTAAAGATGTTGATAGCCGCAAAGAGAATCTCCTATTGGTAAACAAGGCTGATATGTTGACTTTGGAGCAAAGACAACATTGGGCTGATTACTTTGAGGCCGCCGGTATCAAGTACAAGTTTTTCTCAGCAGCTTTGGCAAAAGAATTAAATGAAGCGATGTTAGAGGAGACCGAAGAAGAAACGGAGGCATCTGCATCTGCATCAAAGCTAGCAGAGAAGGCGAGAGCACTTGGGCTTGACGACGATGACGATGAAGAAGATGATGATAGTGAAGCGGACAGCGATGAGCAAGATGAAGAGGCAGCTGTTGAGGAAGATGATGAGGAAAGCGATGAGGAAATCACAGAGACTGAAAGCACCAGAATCTTGACTGTAGATGAGTTGGAGGCTCTTTTCTTGGTTCATGCACCTGAAGTTCAAGGTAAGGGTTATTATATTCATGCAATTAAATCTAAAGCTAACAAATATAGATTCTGAGTCAGGAATTACTAGAAAGACTCAAATTGGTCTCGTCGGATACCCTAACGTTGGTAAATCTTCCACCATTAACGCCTTAATTGGTGCCAAAAAGGTTTCTGTGTCATCGACACCAGGAAAAACGAAGCATTTCCAAACTATCCATCTTAGTGACAAAGTCTTACTTTGCGATTGTCCTGGTTTGGTTTTCCCAAATTTTGCTACCACCAAAGCAGAACTTGTGTGCAACGGTATCCTACCTATTGATCAACTTAGAGAATTCGTGGGTCCAGCTGGTTTAGTAGCACACCGCATACCCCAAGGATTCTTAGAAGCATTGTACGGCATGAAAATCGTGACCCGACCTTTGGAAGAAGGAGGAACCGGTATACCAACAGCCGAAGAAATGTTAACAGCATATGCTAGAGCAAGAGGCTTTAGAAGGACTGGGCAAGGTCAGCCGGATGAGTCGAGAGCTGCTAGACATATTCTTAAGGATTACGTTAATGGAAAGCTGTTGTTTTGTCAGCCTCCTCCATTGGACATTGATCCTTTTGAATTTAATAGAGAGCTATATGACGAAGGCCATCTACCAGAGAAGAGACGACAGGCTTTAGCATCTATGGCGTCGTCCGCCGATGATCAAGCTTCTGTTGCAGATTCCGATGTTGTCGAAATGCCTCAAGGACCAAAATCAAAGAACCTTGACAGTACTTTCTTTGCTCAAGGACAAGGTAATTCAGCACATTTACGAATGCCTTTCAGTCACAAATACTCTGAGCAAGGAACTGCTAGCGGGAAACTACTCTCAGGGAGGAAACAGGCAACGTTAATAGCTTTGGAGAAGGATGTGGATCCAAATGATATTAAGAAATTGACTAGCAAAAAGCACTTCAAGGGTAACAAACCAGGTGGAAAGGGCAAGAGAAGAGCGAACTATTTTGCTGATTAAAGGTCTGATATCGGTCGGATTTGGGTCATAGAAAGAAAGGATACCTCAATAACGGTGGCGGTTTGCATTTTTGAATGGAGTCAAGGTAGTGATTAAATAGAAAATGAATATCACCTCGGTCAACGAGTTGAAACCTTACCATATGCATCGATTTCTCGTACCATTCGTTTCAGATCATCATGCACAGTGCATCCTATAGGATTCGATGAATATCGTCCCTGGTCCCCACACCGTGAATTGCCTCGGTATAGAACAATTGGCCGAGCCGAACTTGTGTGGAGAAGTTTGGGGTAACAAGAGCTAAGAATACATTAAAACAACGAAGAGGAGCTCAATGCTTATATTAATCTTCCATTCAACTAAATATTTGTGAATAAGAAATATAGTTGAATACACAATCATTTTTGTATTTGAAATTATCTTGAGTTTTGACGCGACTTCGTACATATTTCTCCAGACTACCTTAAAATCTTATTTATCATGTCTGACAAGATCCCTATTCTCGTAGGAGCTATTCATCCGATCACGCCTCCTCAAATACTAATTATTCTTTTCTTCTAGGCCGCTAATCGTGTGAGCGATCATGCAAAGAAAACACTTGATCTTGTCACAAAATTTGTCGAAGAGAGATGTATACCGTATGTTTGCCACGATAACATTTGATTTCATGTTCTTCACCGCACAAGATCACCACTAACAGTTCACAGCGCCGACCCTATATTCCACGCTCAACTCGGCGAAGGTACTCAGAGATGGGATGCCTACCCTTCAGTCATCGAAGACCTTAAGAAAGAGGCACAAAGTCTCGGATTATGGAACTTGTTCCTCGCAAAATCACATTACAAAGAAGGAGCCGGTTTCTCGAATCTCGAATATGGGTTGATGGCAGAACAATTGGGGAAATCGCATTTGGCATCTGAAGCTACGAACTGTGCGGCGCCAGATACCGGAAATATGGAGGTGTTGGCGAAGTATGGAAATGAGGAACAGAAGAGACAGTGGTTAGCTCCATTGTTGAGCGGTAAGATTCGTTCGGCTTTCCTGATGACGGAACCGGATATCGCAAGTTCGGATGCTACGAATATTCAAATGGATATGCGAAGGGATGGAGATCATTGGATTTTGAATGGCTCGGTGAGTTGAGCATCTTTGATTTTGTTCAGGGGCACATCAGCTAATCTGTTACATAGAAATGGTGGTCGAGTGGCGCTGGTGATCCACGATGCAAAGTTTATATTGTTATGGCTAAGAGTGATCCTAACAATTCGGATCAATACAAGCAACAGTCTGTTATCTTGGTACCAGCCGATGCCCCTGGTATTACTATCAACAGAATGCTGTCAGTCTACGGGTTTGATGATGCGCCTCACGGACATGGTCATTTGACATTCAAGAATGTTAGAGTGCCAGCAAGAAATATGGTACTTGGCCCGGACGTGGATTCGAGATCATTCAGGGTCGTCTTGGTCCTGGACGGATTCATCATTGCATGAGATCTATTGGTGCTGTAAGTTCTATTGATGTGTACATCTACAGAAATATTTCAAAGCTAATCATATTGTAGGCTGAGAAAGCTCTTGATTGGATGCTCATGCGTATCAATGATCCTAAAAAGACACCTTTCAAGAAACAATTGAAAGAACACGGTGTGATTCTCGAATGGGTGGCAAGATCAAGAATTGAAATCGACGCGGCCCGTTTGGTTGTACTTAATGCTGCTATTAAGATCGATGAAGGAGGTGCAAAGAGTGCACTGAAGGAGATTGGTGAGGCAAAGGTACTCGTACCAACTATGGCATTAACTGTCATTGATCGTGCCGTACAATCATTTGGAGGAGCTGGTGTATGTCAAGATACCCCTCTCGCATCCATGTGGGCAAATATCAGAACATTGAGGTTGGCCGATGGACCAGATGAGGTACATCTACAACAATTGGGCAGAAATGAAAACAAAAGAGGAGCCGAGGTGACTCAGAAGATTCACAGACAAATGGAAGCTACGGAGGCTCTGTTTGCTAAGTACAGAGTCAAGCATGTAGAGCCAGGACCAAGTGTTCGGGAGAAATCTAAGTTGTAGGTTAGATAGGATTAGGGATTTAGTTTGTTTATGCGTACAGGAAAATTAGGACTGAATTTTCACATGACCTGCTACATTGCGGTATAATATAATTCTTAAGGTTCATAAATTCATGTCATAACGAGCACAATGGATGAACAAGATCCATGATATGGATATAGCGACTGAATTAATCAAAACAAACAAAACCATCCAACCAAGCGTTCCCATTTTTACGTCAGTAATGATTGAGTTTCAATATATGCTTTTTGTACGGCTTGGGCTTGGGCTTGGACTTGGTTACTTGGAGGGGAAAGTGGAGCAACGGAAGAAATATGCTCATCGTTACCCAGACAACAAGCGTAAATAATTCCAGAGGAAGATCATAAATTTTCGATTTCGCTACAACTGAAGAACAAATACATAAAAACACATAAAGTCCTCACTTCTACAATATCTGACTTCATTCACAATCACAAGAACTTTTCAGAAAACCTACAATCAAATACCTCTTTACTACAATTAAACAACAATCAATACATTCACAAGAACATATACAATGTCTTCACCAAACGTTCTCTCAAACAAAGACGTCAATATCTCAGCTATGAATCAAGCCAACAGTGTAGTTGATGAGAAGAAGACACCAATTGGTGCTGACCCTCATTCTATGGAGTATCATCGTCAAGTTTTGCAGAACAAGATGCAACAGAACGGGTATGTTCTTCCCTTTTTTTGGTTGCTTCTACGTACACTTTTCAGCAGTTTTGAGCTTCACCATCCCTTCATTTGATAGTCATTCACAAATACGAGAGCATTCACTAATTCATTGAAAAATATAGGGGTCAAGAGGAGAAATACATCTCCCCATCGGATACCATCCAATCACCAACTACTGCCAAATTATCGGCTTATCGCAACAAACAAGTTGGAAAGTGAGTACCATCTTCCGTTGTTCTTTTCATCACAAACCGTAGAGGCATTTCGCACAGCCTCGGGCAATCTTGCCATCTCTAAACTGCAAATTAAATATTCCAAGAAATAGATACTAACAGCACCCCTCCAGGAATACTAAACCTCGCTCTCTCTTCGCAAAAACCTCTGCCAAAAAACTTGCCGCAAATGGTCCACTTTTCGGCAAAGACATCTCAAGCCCAAAACAAACCACAAACGATAATGCCGGCGACGCTATGCAAGAATAGATTTCTCATTCTCGAGCCATGAGATGGGATTAATTTTTGTATTTTGCACGGGAGCGGTTCCTATAGAGAGGCGTATAAGTAGCACGCGCTTTCGGTTTGTTTTTGGTTTTTGACTTTGGTTCTGGTTTTGGTTATTTTCGGTCGGCAAGTCATTGGACAATGATACGCATATTATCAAGTGAAGGATATTGTGGCAAATTTGTTTATTGTTAGGCAGGGGTTTGGATGGAGAAATAAGGAAGGGAAAGGAGAAATTTTATGATTGTGTATTTCTACTTCGTCTCCACATCTGCGGATGTTTTGGAGGGTAGGGTGGTTTTGGGCACCGCGTGATGGACCTGGATATCACATTTATGCGAGGGACGCATGAGCATGGTACGCTTCCTGGCTGATTTGGGGATATCATGACTCAACTGTCTTCGTACGTCTGGGTATTGATCATGAGGCGTTTTGGGATACTATTTCCTTTCTTCCTCTTCTTTCAATGGTTGTATTATTTCTTCGGTGGGACGGATATCAAAAGGAAAGGCTTTTGATAATCCATTGACGCTTAGATGAGTTAATTTTATGAGAATTCTCTCTTTCTCTACTTTACATCTGAGCATCTTGTATAAAATTGTGCTACCGTGATAGTTTTGTATGATGTGTATATCAATGGCATGCTTGATTTCCGCTTCACTTAGCTCACTGCACTAGATACCTGCAGTAAAAGAGTGCTAATTCAATGACATCGTACAACACGTACTTGTCTTTGAGCAGTCTTTTGTGATCTTGTTTGAGACCTTTTTGTAGAAGGTCTTTGAAAGAATGAAGGAAAAGGTATCATATATCTGTGATTGAAGTCGGTTCACTGGGGAGAATAGATTTGAGGCCGAGGCCTGAGGATTGGGAATGAGAGTGATTCTAGGTTGGGTTAGATTTATTCTGGAGTACGCTGTATGCTATGCGCTGTGTTTATGCTTTGTGGGTAATCGGAAATAGGAACACTCTTCATGTAGTGATCTCAGATGAGATACTCTGGTATCTAGCTTTGGAATGTCAAGTGTTTATTCACTCGTCGGACTCAACGGATATAGCCCATAGTACTTGCACGACATATCACACAATGGCCACATCAAGAACACCATGTATCAATAAGCATAACCATAAATCTTTCATTAAAAATCGTTATACTAAAATTTCCTTTGGAATTCCCGCAGTGAACAGAACAAACTCCCGAAACAAAGTAATACTCCAAGACGCATGTCCAACCCCCGTTAAAACTTTTCTCGGGCCAAACAGGCCATCCTCATTGTCATTATAAAACATTAAGCTAAGGCAGCTAATAAAGATTGATACCCTTCAAAAGGGTGCTTGCGGGTAAAAAGGTGCACCGGCATAATCGAAACCTGTTTCGAGACCATTTTGAGGGTAAGGTTCTGTGGGATGTCAGTTCAAGTTGCCTTTGAGCGAAAACCATGATGGATGCAATGAGAAAAATAAAGCGAGAGATAGAGGCATCAATCGATGAGCAACAAACAAGATATCAAACTGATATTAATGGCTTACCCCAGAAAATTGAATCGAATAAATCCATCGGTGACATATTCAACGTCTGTTCTACAGACTGCATATCACCACTCATATTATTCATCGGCACTTGTTGCGCATATTCCATACTATGTGTCTGTTAGTAAACAATTTCGAATAAAGTTATCGGAAAATAGCAAACATACGGTGGTACTATCCCATTTTGCATAGAAGCCATAGCAAGCGCAGCATTTTGTTGTTCATATTCACTTGTAGATTTGAAGTCTGGGCCCTGTATTATCTGAGCTTCCGGTACCATAACCGATTGTTGTTGAATTTGTTGTTGTTCAACCACCCATCCATGATCATATATATTTTTCAGAGCAGCCAAAGCTCTTGATAGAGGTCCGCTGAGTTCAATATCCTTATCTGATTTGGGAATGGTGGATGGTTGTTCTTTTGCTGCAGTAACCGACAGAGCACTTATTAAATCTCCTTGTAGTTGTCGAACTTCCGGGTCTGTTTTGGTTTCACCCAAGATCCCCAGAAGAACTGCAGATGAGAGGCCATGGTAGGTGAATGCCCATGAACGTGTTGGTATAACGCTCAATGAGTGCATTTTCAAATACATTCTAACAGTCTCCGTGAGATTTTGCTTACACTTTTCTGCAATGATTGCTTTCTGGTCGGAAGACATTCCATTTTCACCGCGTCGAAGAGCGGGTCGGCATAACACCGAGACGACAAAAGATGTGTGAAGACGAAGAGCGAAGTATTGTAATCTATCTTGAACTGTCCTGCATTTATCTTTGATACGGAGTGCCGGGAGAACTCTTTGACGAATGTTCTCAACGTCGACTGAATTGGCGATGATTTGATTATAATCAGGCTCAGATACCGAATCATTTTTGACGAAATCCAATACTCTCTGACATAGATGATACATAGCTTCTGTGTAGGTGAACCCCTCCGTCAAAGCGATGGGGCTTAGAGGGACTTTACATCTCGTGATCACAGCGATTGGAGATCGGTCAAATGACAATGAGAGTAAACTATCTTGCCAGACGATTGTCCACCTAAAACCCGTTAGACCAATAGAGAAACATGATGGTGAGTGAGTGAGCATACCAGAGTTTACGACGAGGTAAATCATTATCCTCAGAAGATGTGAATCTACCGCTCTCGTTAGGACCCCTATGAAGGCCTAGAGCTTGAGCAAGTCTACAAGTAAGACCTATTAATGCCCACGATGCCTCAGCTTTCATATCATTGGCTAGAACAAATCCAAGAATTAAGAGTGCTTGCAATGAATCCAACGATGGGCGAATCAAGAAATTAGATAGCCTCAGGCAATGGAATGATGTTTGAACTGTATTTGAGATTAGTCTCCTTGCATATTCAAAGACAAGAGTATTCGGCTTACCGAAAGATTGTGAGGCTGCTACACGTCTGTGATATGTAGTTTCAGCGTAATTTGATGATACAGCAAGGACTGCGAATAGCATCCCAAGCCAGGCTGACGATACCCCCTTCTGATTTGGATTCCTACTTTTTGCAGAACTAGCCCGATCTTCCAGGTATATGCACAACTTCGTCTCAAAGTCATCAATATCAATCAGCAGGCCCCAAAACGGTTGAACTATCTGTTTATATATCTGGAATGATCTATGGGTAAGTTAGCAGAGATTACAACTTGCTCACATCTTCCGTGCTACTAACTTTAAGACATCCTTGTCCGACGGCAATGCCATAGCAATGTCATGTCTTATTTTATCCATGTGTTCTTTCGACATAAACGGGTATGGTGCCGTTGATATTTGTAAACCTAGTATAGGCATAATGTCTTTCCGAATGACATCGTGCTCACCTTCGCCCGGTGATGATCCAATCTGAGCCTCTTCACTCAAAAAAGCTGCGATTGAATTCTGCCCAAGATATCGTGATTCGTTTGGATCATCTTCTTCTGTGGTGATATTAACTTCAAATTTCAATCGGTCTCACAATTTTTTGGTACTAAGAACACTTGGCCCCGACTAAGGGGGTATAGATGGCATAGCTTCAAATAATACATTTGTCGGTATTTGAACTTCTCGGCAGAGCTGATATGAATTTGGATTTACCTGTTGTTCTTGGCCAGCCGTCCTCTTTTCTACCAGAGTAATCACTGGCACTATCTGGGGTACGGGCTCTTTTAACTCCAGCTACTGAAGCCGTCGGTATCGTCTTCCCGAGATCCCGATTCTTAGGATTGTACGAACATAAGAGAGCGTGATCCCTCTTCACACAATTCTCACATGGGTGTTTATTATCACATTTGACCTTGCGTTGCCTGCAAGGCCAGCAAGCGGTCCCTAAGACTTGTTTAGCAAGTTGCCTATGAAGGATTCTTGACTTGCCACTATCCAGCCAAGAATGGGGAAATGATCCATCATACCATAGCGAACTTTACGATGTGAGTGTATGATCCTATTGGCCTCATCAGGAGTGATGGAGGCTTCGATTGGTTCTGATGGTCCTTCACTCATAGTCGTCGTGAAACAATTCCATTCAATTCATGAAAGTAAGGTTGGGAATGCCGAGGGAATTCCGGAAAGTGCTTATCTTGCTCACTCGACTCCACAGCTAGATGATATTTGGTTTAGCTTAACACGTGATAGATCGCTTGATGTCGACTTGGCAGTGTAACACAATGAAGGGGAAAATAAGAAGATGTTGATATCCTCGGAAAATTTTCAAGTAAATGGGGACAAAACGACCAGAAGGATTCAGAGGCATGATAAATCATACGAATATGAATGATTATACAATCAGAATTATGAAAATTCTCTCTAGATCGCTCGATATACCTATCATCAGCAATCATTCAAGCATAGCCGCATAACCGGGATCCTCACATAGATTAAACTCCGAACGACGGATTCATGTCGGGATATGATCTTTACGCTTCTCCCGCTCTCTGAATGTTCTCAATGATTGGATAGCTGAGAGTCGTTGGTCAGCCCTATGATGTTAAGTGACTTAGGTTGCATCTACATCAGGAACAAAAGTGGTTCCTCAAAACCAACTGATGTTATACTCGTATGGAAATTTCCAATACGGTGGTCTTCAACATCATGTTTTCGTTTGCGATTCCAACCTCGATATACTTCTTTTGTTCTATTTCACTCTATTGATATGAAATTTTAGCTCACACTTATAATTTCAGTCTTCTCAATCTCAAAAAGTTTGAGGTTATCTGTCAATTGCCTACACACTACAATATCCCTCATCACAGGCTGATACTATACTTACGCACGGTAACACTTCAATTCCCAAATGGTGGAAATGCCGGTGGGTATATGCGTCGATTTGGTCTAGCTCGTCGCCCACATATAGATTAGTTTGAGGCTACTATTAAGTCCGAAATTCTACAAGAACCCGAACCAAGCTTTTGGTTTTATGCAACTACCTAGGTAGCGGTGCCTCGAAGAGTCTCGCCCGCCATGCATTTCTACATCTTCTTTCATTAAATTCTCTTTGAGGCTGTTGCAAACTTCACCGGGGGGGGGGGGTTAAGAATGCAGAACCATGCATCATCATTGCTGGAATGATCGACTTCTAGTTAAATATTAATGCAATACCCCCTGCACTCGTTCCGGAACCTGCAGTAAAACCTCAAACTTGGGTCAATTTACACATACAGCCTGCGGAGGCTTTCAATGCTTTTGTATAGAACTATTATATGGTGTTTGTAAAGAATATTTACTCTTCTCGAAGCATTCGCAGTCCTCCAGAACTCTCTGAAATGTGAAAAATAATGATTCAAAGGACCACTTTGGAGATTCAGCTGAAACTCATTCCCGTATTTCAATATATACGAAGTAAAGTTAAATTTTAGCTGACGGCTAACATTTCTTTTGCTGAATGATTCCAGTCGAACCATAATTACGTTGGTTTAATGTGCACTTTTTTTGTTTCTAGTGGGTGAATATGATGCTTCTCAAAGTCAAAGGTCGACTCCTTTCTTCCTGAAAGCTCTAGGCTATTTTTGATCTCTGGTCAACGACTCAAGTATTTAAATCGAAACCATTCAGATATGCGACAAAATGCTTTCACATGCGTCATTTTGTGACGACGGAGCCTTGATTGGTGAGAATAGTAGCTTGGGTCTGGGCCAACTTCGGTCCGGAGGGGGAAGTCTCAGCCAGCCAGCTAAGGCTGATATACAAAATATTCGATATCAGTGGTATTTTACTTGTTAATCACATTACTACCCGTGTATTGCATTAGAGCGTATCTAGAAGTAATGTACAAGATCTCGGGCCTCAACAATCACAATTGGGTCTCAAGCAGGATATCGCGACTATGAATCCAATATACACAATATTGACTCCATTCAAGAAGTTCTCGTGGCATTGTCTATATTGTTCACTCAAAGATTCACACGTTGAATATAATACCCTACTTGTGTTCTTCTCTCCCCGATTCCTATATAAAGCCTCCTTCTTCCTGACTTCCTCCTTTCTTTATTCAACAGATATCGAACATCAAAAGAACTCCATGCAAATACTTCCAGACACAGACTAACCAATAAACAAGACACCAACTATCAATCGCCATGTCTTCCAGAGACATTTACGACAAGGCAACAGTCTACAATCCTGTAGACACTCGCACCAAACCTCCTCAAAATAAAAATACTTCCAATAAGCTTTCTTCCTCTCACTCCAAGATTCCTTTCTCCAATCGACCATCTTCTTCCGCTGCTCCAAAAGCATACACTACACTCGAAAGAGACAACAAATCGGCAACCAAAGGTTTGTCTCAACAGCACATTTTACTTCAAAGAGATGGACAGACTTCTTCTTCCCGTGGACACACTTCAGATTCCCATGATCGTACTCAGCTCAACAGAGACCAACAATCATCATCGAGCTCAAGACAGCCAAGCATGATGCGCGCAGCAACAACTGCTCCTCCAGATGCGAAGAGCAAGTTTAAGTCTCAGCATGATATTAATATGGCCTCGCAACAAGTCAGATATCAAGAGATGAGTTACGAACAGAAGAAAAAACAGGACGAGTGGGTTCGTGAGTTTATTGTTTATGCTGGACCATGCCCAGCTGGATTCAGCTGGGAGCGAGTCAAGCATGGATATGTCTGTAATGGCGGAAATCATTTGTGCACCGACGACCTTCTGGCTGAAGGTAAAGGCGGTTTTTACATGGGAACTCTCGAGGCTGGTTGGTGGGGCCCGCTCTATGACTCAAGCTCTCACGTACGATTAGAGTACGCAGAGGCTCTAGTCCATGAGCATGCCAAGAAACATGGATTAGATCCAACAGTTGCTCCCGTAATCCCACCACCTGTTATACCAGCAACTCATGAGGTTCACCCGGGAATTGTAAAAGCAATGGCGGGTCTGGGACCCATGCCACAAGCTTGCCCAATCGAATATGTCCTTGAGAAATTCAAGCGAGTAGGTGAATTTGAGAGAGCTATGGGACTTGGAAATATCGCTAGGTCCTCTCATCATATTCCTGGAGCATCAAGTCACCATACGTCAAGTGGCCATCACTCATCCAGTGGAAATCCCTCAACCTATGGATATCTCTCATCAGGAGTAACACCTCAGCTCAGCACCCTCTATGGACTAGGAGGTCTACCAAATAGGCTTGCAATGAGCACGAGCAATGGCTCTTTATCCCAAGGAGGTCAACTCCCACTCGGATACCTACCTGCTGCTTATCGCAATGATCCATATGGACAGGGTCCATTGGGACGCCGCAGACATTAAGCCCGAGAACGTGGAGGAAGGACTCTGTACTACGCTATACTACGTCCTGGAGGATACTAGATGATGACGAGGACGATGATGGTGGTAATGATGCGTGACTTTGGATAAAGATATAGATATTAGATAGTTCAATGCGAGACGTTATATTAAGATAGTGGAGAATTTGAATATGCATGTGAAATACGAATACAACTGTGCATATCTCGACGAAAAATATTACTCATCAAGCTTCTGTCTCATTCACATTTACACTACTCATTCAGTTCCATCTCCAACGCTTGAGACGGAACGCCGTTCCTAGACCCCAGAACACTGCCCGCGTGATAATAATCCTCAGATGTCGTCACCGATGCTGACAATTTGCATATTTATCTTCCCCATCATGGCATTTCATTCAAATGCGAATGTGCATGTGAGTTACAAGATGTGCTCTTGTGATTACATGCGCGTGCATCAGTGATATGCTTAATGATTCAGATTAAGCTGATTTTCTCAACTATGGGAGGGATTGTGATTATTTTGATATTTGATTGAAAAGTGAATATGAGAATGTGAGAACATGATTTCATTTTGGGTCATACAACGAAAAAAAGAGATACCTGAGGTATTGAAGTGTCTTAGGAAGACGGGTTGATGGGGAAGGGTGGCAAGAGCGAAGACAAGAGGAATAAGAGTGAAGGCATTCTATTCCAAAAACAAAAGCAATCGATCATTCAGTCGAACTTGGTAAGTAAATCAGATCACTGAGTTCATTTAGAGAAGGTCTTTTGATCTCGAGAAGACAAAGTGCCCGTAATTGGAAACGAAGCTCAAACACGATGCGCGCAATTCTTCGTGTAGAAGTGGCTGAAGCTTACTTGTGGGTGTTGATCATATACAAGCGCCGACATCAAACCCACAGCCCCAAATATGTCTCAAACATGCAACAATATTCGACGACAGACGACATAAAGCTTGTGATCCGTGTAGTTTCTGTTTGATGCAAACTTTCCGCTAACAACTTTGAAAGCGATTCCAAGCCTTAACACGATCAAGAAGAACATGAGACTGCCAACATGAGAAGATCTCTTGAATTCCAAATAATGAGGAGTATAAAATTGTGTTGGCTGCAAATATATCGTTTCTCCACATTTGATTGACCTCACATGGTCTTCTGGAAGATTAGTTTGATTTGATAATAGACGTTGCAATATCCCATCGACAATAGTACCTAGTGAGCACAGCTTTAGTGGTCAAGAAATCGATGCACTAATTCAACTGCGAAGCTGTAATCTAGACCTCACACTCCTTGAAAAAGACTCCAGTCTTCTGCTCGCTGTTGACGAAGATGCTCCTGATAATAATACTAGGGGATGCAGAGTATCATTCTACCCGCCAGTTGTCGAGAACAGGTGTCGATCAGTATGAGCATGGTAGAACGTAGCCCCTCGATCTATCCACAACAATGATGACCTCGGGATACGCCTTTTGGCAAGTCTGCTTCTTACATTAGCTTTCCGATCTACGACATCCCGCCTGCTACTTGACGCAATCTCTGGTGGATATTACACACCTCAACTTGATCACTGACTCATGGAAATTCGATATCGAAATGTACGGCGAGTCCCGACCATCGACTTGATCAAATACACCTTCATCAATCAAGGATTTGATAACCCATCAGATTTTCTCTCCTGGTCTCCTGCCATATGCGTGTCATGCATATCTATGATAAGATCTTCAAGCACATGTATGCATGTGTTGCCAGAAGAGGCAAACCACCTAATCCCAAACAAGCAGCTTTCACAAAATCCGCCTTGGGATTGGTACTTATGTACCTGCCCAATCTGCTGCACTTTATTACTGGTAGATCTAGGAAGTCTACTGCCGGAGTACGTTACCAAACTTTGGAAGAACAAGAACATTGTTTCTGCTCATGATGATTATGAACACAACGAGTACCGGATTTCATAGTGCGATTTATAAGCTTTTCTTGATGATAGTGGAAACGATTAAGACGAGACCAGGCTCTATGGCTGTGGACATGAGGAATATCAAGGTAATACTGGATAATACGGACTTTTAATGCTATACTGTAAGCTGGATCTGAGACAACAGAGAGAGGAAGTCAAAGTGCATGCCATCTGCCCTCGTATTGAGACTTCGAAATCGTACTGGTTATATAGAATCTTGCGTGCTCCTTCCTATGTGGTCGTTCTTGTCGCCTATCTATTTGGGTCTCAGGTCCTGAACATGGAATTTGGGTATGGAAAACTTGGTTGAGAATTCCGCTTTTCGACCTCGTAAATCAGGTAAATATCATAAAAAACAATCTTCGCCTTGGTCGTGATAATCGGCGGAGGGTCAGCGGAGGGTCAACGGAGATTGATGATTATCTCCGTTCAAATGAAGTTACCTCAATTTGATAGGTTGGGAACCATTTAGTCGTTCCTGATCTTCATCACGTGAAACCCCGCTGTCCTCGCCTGCCAGTCAATCAGTCAGCCAATTAATCTGTTCACTATTTTCCGTTTTCCATCTATCTTTCTGAAGATTGCCTAGTATACTATCAGTGATATGTTATTAGTGACAGACTAATATTGCTTAAGTATTATGGCCGATCTTGTACCCGCAACTGCTTCAGAATTGTCAGACACTGTATCACAATCTTCCCCCCCAAAGACAATACAGAGGATAATTCACGGGAAAAGAAGGGTGCACCCAAAGCAAGTCGGCAAAGATTCAAGCCACAATTGTCATGCACCTTTTGTAGAACACGAAAGTATGCAAATAAATCTGATCTGCCCCTTATTGACCTTACACTGACCCAACCAGATTAAAATGCGACCGCAATTCCCCTTGCAATAATTGCTTCAAGAGAGACTTGTCTTCATCATGCACATATATCCACAATTCACGTGCGAAGATATCTCATGCCCAGAGAACCAGAGAGAAACCAAAAGATGTTCAAGACCGAATCCAACATCTAGAGGAGCTAGTCGTGACTTTGATGAATCAAGCCAAAGATACAACATCGCCGTCGAAACCAACCATCTCACCTGGCTTTCAAAGCTCCACGATTAAGCCCCGAGGAATTTCATGGCCAGATGATGCTACGATATCTGAAAGTGCGGATTCCATCGGACGTATATCTGTCGAAGATGAGGTGCAGAATTATGTCGGCGGGGCCCATTGGGCGGCAATACTCGAGAATGTATGCATCCCTCCTCGTATGAGCCGATGAGTATCTGACAGTACTGTAGATAGCCGGCTTAAAAGAGTCATTGGGATCTGAGGAATGGCCACAGGGAATAGCTAGTGGAAAGAATACTTATGAAGGACCTGAGCTACTTCTTGGAGACAATAGAAAGTCCTCGAGGGAATCTATTCTTGCTTGTCTCCCGTCGAAACCTCTGGTTGATAACTTGGTCGAACGCTACTTCACTGCGATCGACGCTTCCTGTAAAACGACATATTCTATGGAGATGGGATTGAACGCTAACGAATGTATAGTTATCACTCATGTACCGACTTTCAAAAAAGAGGTGAGAACTTTCCCTAATCCAGAAATCGGCTCATTCGTTAACTCCTTTGTAGTACGCCGAGTTTTGGGATAATCCAAACTCAAAATCCATTTCTTGGATTGGATTACTATTTTCCATAATATGCCTCGCCGCGAACTTTGAACTAAGAACAGGAGATTTCCCGATCGCCGCACTATCAGACTCGGCTATACGGGACACAGAACAGCGAACCAGATTATATCGTGAGAAAACTGTACAGTGCCTCATAAGCAGTAATTACACGGAGCCGGGGCTGTATACTGTTGACACTCTTTTACTTTATTATCTCAGTGAGTATTGCGAAAGCAAGGATACACTATTTGGGTCTTGGATGGTTTTTGGGATGGTTGTCCGTGCAGCAATGCGAATGGGTATGCATCGAGATGCCTCTCATTACCCCAATATATCAGTTTTCCGTGGTGAGATGCAACGTCGACTGTGGGGTGCGATATTACTTGTTGATATTCAGACTTCATGTCAAGTTGGACTTCCTCGTATGATAAGCGAAGGGACCTATGATACAAAGCCCCCAATCACCTCCTAGACGAAGATCTTCATGAAAATATGGTTGCATTACCGCCCATCAGATCAGAGTATGAATCTTCACCTATAGGCCACGCACTCTCTAAATATCGCCTTATTTTGGTATTTGGTAAAATATTTGACGCGTCAAATCTTGTTAATCCCATCTCTAATGATGAAGTCATGAGGCTTGAAAAATTGCTTTTCAATGCTCTTGGAGAGATCCCAGATTTTTTTCGAGTCAGATCCATTCACGATCTCGACAGCGGTTCTCTTATGTTCAGAGTAAGGAAGTTCTCAATTGAAATGACTTATCTTAAAGCACGTTGTTTTCTTCATCGTAAATTTCTCTCGGAAGCCGAATCATTGCAGAAACACTCTTACTCTGTCAAAGCGTGCGTCGATTCTTCAATGCTGATTCTACAATATCAAAATTACATGACCAACGAGACAGCTCAGGGTTCATCATTACACGGCATGAAATGGATTACATCTTCTTTAATGACTTACGATTTCCTTTTAGCCGCAACACTCCTTTGTCTTTATCTTGGGCAGTTGATGGCTGCCGAAGAAAAATCTATGAATATCAACCTTCAGGATTTTCCAATCGATTGGACTATCAAAGATATTTCGTACGCTTTATCCAAATCTTACCAAATATGGAACAATCCCGAGATTGCATCGGAAGATACCATGAAATTTTCGAAGGTACTAAAGGCCATGGTAAACAAAGTTGATCATTGGTCTACCGTAAATGAAATCCAAAGAGAGGTTGCAAAGGAGATGACGAATGAATCTAACCGTAATGCCTTACCCCCTAAGCATCACGAGGCTCTTTCCACTTCCATTTTGCACGGAGGCTGTCTCCCGAATTCTTCTACTCCAAATATGCATTCTTTGCAATCAAACAACTTCGAGGAAAGCCCAAGTGACTCTTCTACGCCAAATATTGGTATGATAGGAGACATTTTGAATGATCCGACCGGTCTCGATTGGGTAAGTGATTCTTTGTTTCTCACTGAATACATACTGATCAAGAAACGTAGAGTCTCTGGGATAGCAATTTCCAAGGGAATAGCAATTATATTGATGCAGGGGCTTCGTTATATTCTTCCGATCCGTACTTTCCTTTTCAGGCAGCTGGATTTGAGTCCAATTTGGACGGCAGTTGATGATCACTAATTAACCCCCAAGATTGGTTGATTACCAATACATGGCTTGTCCAAAGCTTATTTATAGGGCGCAGCCAGAAAATAGGCTTCCCAAGAAAGCTTAAAGGTTTCCAATACAACGTGAGCGGGGAATTTTATTATTGGTTGGATGCCCCTGTATGGCATTCGCTTATTGTATAGTCTGGGCAAGAGAACGAATAACTGAAAGACTAGTAAGTTAAATTCTACCGGTTCCCACACCACCATTCTAATAAAATTGTTTTTAACAGACTGGACCTCAACGACTTCTGGAGCGATGGTGTATGACAAGTGCGATTAGTTGTCACGCGAATCGCTAAGTACTGAAGCGGCAGGTAGATGACCGGTTGATTGTTGAAGATTGGTCGAAATAGTCAGGTGGTTTCTCGCGAGTTCCTCTATAATTAAGAAGGTCTGAACTGCTGATAACGGACTTGATGCAGATCTTCCAGAACTCATCGTCTCCTTCGAGTGACTGGAGACCTATCAAATGGCTTGTTGTGTATAACTGACGCAATGCGATGTTGGCTATGCCTAAAGTTCTCAGAATTGTCATATGATATAACTCTATATTTAAGCATATTCATTGGTTTTGAATGTAGTTTCGATTTACATGGTTGAAAACCTGGGGAAAACTAGCAATTTTATCTTGCCTTGCCCCGCATCAAATGCGTGTCCATCGTGATAGGAAAGAAATTGTACCTCATGTTTCCAAAACATACCGAATCTTCCCAATCTATCACCGATCTATGGCCGAGAACGAGGCCAGACCTCACTGAATTAATGCCGTCGTTGTGTGGAAAAAATTGCCAAGAAACTGCCAGCCCTCCTTAGAGTGTGTATCTTGACCTGAATGGTGCTCGACCCCGTATCGCCAGCGTCGGATCGGTGAAATGACGATACACGAGAGATGATCGAGTGATAATCGAGGGAATCTGGATTAGAAGCAGGTGAGCTTGCTGGAGAGATAAAAAGGTATGTGTCCGGATCGCTTTGCACAGCATGATTTGAAGTAGACTCAACTTTCTTTCTCAAAACAATACTTTCAGCTTTCATAGCGAAGATCTTTCAAAAATGCATTTCATCAATGTCCACACGAATCTGCTGATCACCTTCTTCCTCAGAAAGAGCGTTCTGGCAGCACCAACTGGAGATCCTCTTCTTGGTTACAACCCTTCAAACGTTGTCATCAACCAAGATACCGACAATCTCAACTATGAACTTGCACCAGGCCAAACAGATCCAGCAACTGTAGGCGCTTATCTGGATTTCAGCACAATTCAGAACCCTCAACCCATCCGAGGCTCCAAAGGTGGCACTGACCCAGGCCCAAGAACTTCACCATACGATATCCTTAATCCCGATAAACTTGCACCTCCGGGCACAGACCATGGAAGTGTGAGTAATGCACAATGGCCTATGGGACTCAGTCATGCGAAGCTAGGACTCGACCACGGAGGATGGTCGAGACAGCAAAACGTTGACAATATACCTGTTGCCACAGAAATGGCAGGCGTAGATATGCGTTTGGAGGAGGGCGCGTACCGCGAATTACATTGGCATAAGGCGGCAGAGTGGGCTTACATCTTCAATGGGAGTGTGAGACTTCAAGCTGTTAATGATGAAGGCCAGACCTTTGTCGATGATTTGAGTGCGGGTGATGTTTGGTATTTCCCTCCGTAAGTGATCCAAGCCACCGCGTGCTCTATCTCATGCTATGCTCGCTTGTCACTTGGCGTGATATCTCAGCTTATGATTTTACTGACGAACACCATTTCAGAGGCGTGCCACACTCTCTGCAAGGATTGAAGGGCGGAGTAGAATTTCTCTTGGTCTTCGATGACGGAAGCTTCTCCGAAGACAATACCTTCTTGGCTTCAGAAGTCTTTGCACATAACCCAGTAAGACAAACCTCCTAGCATCTATGATATCAAGAGCTAACATCATCAAGATTGAAGTCCTTTCCAAAAACTTCCAACTTCCCAAATCTGCCTGGTCCGATATCCCTTCTGGAGAACTCTTCATTTTCCCCGGCACAAAGGCTCCCACCGATATAGCCGAACAGAACATCACCGGCTCAGCTGGTCTCGTGCCTAAAGAATTCTCCTACTCGTACCATCTCTCTAAAGCCCCTCTGACACACGATACCCCCGGCGGAACGATCAAGATACTCGATCCAAAATCCTTTCCTCTCGCAGCTCAATTTTCTACCGCAATCGTAACTCTGCATCCTGGAGCTATGCGCGAAATTCACTGGCACACCACAAGCGATGAATGGAACTTCTTCATATCTGGTAGTGCGAGAATTAGTATATATGCAGCTCAGGGGCTAGCAAGAACATTCGATTATCGTGCGGGTGATTGTGGATATATCCCCAAGGGAATGACGCATTATGTTGAGAATACAGGGAATGACGATGTGATATTCATTGAAGTTTTGCAGGCAGATCATTTCTCGGGTGAGTTTTGTTTGTTTGCTTGTTGTTATGACATGATGGGATGCTAATGTGTGATAGATATTTCGGTCGGCCAATGGGTTGGTTTGACGCCCAAGCAGATTGTAGCTGATACGCTCAACTTATCCAACGAGACGGTGTCGGCTTTTAAGAAGGAGAAGCAATATATTGTGACAGGTGATGTCCCGGAGTGAATTGGCTCATAGGCTTCTCGGTTCTTAATATGTCTTTCGTTCTTCTGTTTCCTACACTCACGTCACCTTTCGCTCAATTTCGGTCGCTTCTCATTGAATATACGTCTAGATATATTGTCGCAAAGAAGAGGAATTTTTAGTTCTCCCGCCACTGAAGGCACATGCAACCATTAAGATAGCTTTTCAACAATTCTATGATTCCATCTCGAGCATGTTGCGTGAATTTCGAAAAATCATGATGTCTTTGTCAATAGAAGAAATATAAATATGGAAAAGTAGATTCCACAATGGAGATAGTAATTTGACTATACATGACCACCCTTAGCCGTGAAAAAGATTGTAATACGAGGCTTTTCTTGGCAGTTCGCTTTTATGAGATCATCTATTTGCCGAGTGGGGGTATGCACTGCAGCCAGCTGTGTAGATATGATGGATGAATGTCAGTATTCCTTTACGGTAGTCCGTAAAGAATGAGGACTATATGCTAATCGTGAATCTCGTGAGTCTGCAGTGTGCAACATGGATCGATGATTCGATTATATGAGGTGTGCTTGTCGAACGATGCCCCACTTGACAACTGGAATGAGAGTGAATGTATTTACCTTAATAAGGCTCGCGGGTATTCTATCAAAGTGGCCCTGTTACTCAGGACTCCTAAGTAATTGTTGTGAAATGAAGTATATTGCAATAGAAAATTGTGTCGAGCAACTGTGTACGCGAGCTTACACCATGTGAAAGTATTGATGTTCAAAACCATTGTTTTTCCTGCCGGCGACTTCTAAAAGAGTGATCATCCAGATCTATTTATCTTCCCAGGATTTCTTCTCCGCCTTTTACTTTTACTTTTTCTTCTTATGCGCATCTTCCAAGAGTTCTTTAAACTTCTCATCACTCTTTCTGCCTTCTGTTTGTTGTTCAGATCGTTCCGTATCAGCGTCAGTCTGCTTCTTTATATTCTCCTCAACTTCCGTCTTATATTTCGCCTCCATCTTATCAATATCCTCCTGTGTCCACTGCTCTTCCTGTGCCTTTGCTCTTTCCCTTCTCAACTCTTGCTGAGTATTTAGTTGTTCCGCCTGAAGATTTGTAAGCGTTTCTGTTAGCTTTTTGACTCTTAAAGATATCAATTTTCCGTCTCGAAGCGCGGCCTCTTTGTCGTGTCCAGTGAGAATTTGATCTACAATTGCGCCTACAATTTTTTCATACGCATCATCGCCTTTGGATTCTTAGTCGACATGAACTTCAACGACATTCCGTACAAGCTCCAATTTTATTTCTTCGTTTGATTGAAAAGCCGTGCCGTATTTCTTCCTGCCTTTTAACTTTGCATCGACACTGAGTAGACGGTCTCACTTTCCTAAGAGCCATTGCACGCAATAGAAGAAAATACGGGGATTGATTCGAAGACCGAGAACTTTTTTGTAAGTTCACAAATGTGCATAGTTTCAACCCGAACTCTGCTATGATCTCCAATGATAATGTGAATGAAGCCAAATCAGCGGCCAAGCTGGGGAACAACTATACAAGATATCAGGTGTGTAAGAAGAAGAAATGAAGATGTCACGATATTCTAGAAAACTAATGATATACATAGGTATGCTATTCATATAAGCGAAGTAAAATCAGAGAAAGGAGAAAAAGCGCATCGCAATCGTTCATAAAAAATAGCCCACCAGGCCTAGCCCAAAAAGAAAAAGATTTAGCTTCCAGTTATCATCATACATAGAACATAATTTTCCGAGTCATTCATTCCAGCTTATTTCTAACCTGAATGCCTATCATACTCGTCAGACCAGACCAGGGTCTAAACCTTTTTATGCTCACCCGCTTTATCTTAGCTCTAATCGCTGAAACCTCAGGAAAATTGCATCAACGATTCCTTTTTGAACTTGCCATCTCTCCGTATCTTCCTCTCTCCTTCGTCGTATCATATGCTTGTAGCACTCTGGTTTGCGATTCGTCCGCCTGAGAGAAGGCATAACCACGCTGTTTACGCATACGCTGAACTTGTCGAACCTTGCGAATGGCTTTCTGAAATTGCTCCATTCTGTAATGATTTGTTAGAAAATTGGCTCATAAGAACAAAATCGAAAGGGGAATGTACCTTGGTCTATAATCTTGGATGTTATATTTCTGGATCTCTTGGATATGGTGGTAGGATTGTGGATAATACATCCGTTTAGCGCTGTGAGCATAGATTAGCATTTCCTGAAAATGATACCACAGATAACCTTACTATTTCCATGAAAAGTCTCTCAGCAAGCATAACATAGGCAATGCCAAACCTTGAATCCAGAAGACAGGACTTCCAAATAATCGAGGAATAACACCCTCATATTCCATGGAGAAGCCGAGCTTAGGCGCCACCGTAGCATACACAGCGATGAAAATGATCCAGATTAGCATACTGCCAGGTATGGCGATAACGTGATATTTTGTCCAAACATTTACCACTAGAGCTGCTTTCCCAAGAACAGTTGCCAAGACGGCAGTATAGAGTGCTGTGCCCCATACCCAATGGCCTGCTGTTTTGCCGTCGCCCTGCGGTAGATCACGCCACCAAATAAGTTCCGAGGCGATATATAGAATCAGAGAATGATAGAAACCGTTACCAATCCAAGCCCAGAATGAATGTTGTCTGAAAAAGGTATTCTTTTGACCCAGTTGATAAAGCTGTGGATATCTATCTAGAAGTCGAGCAGATATAAATTGATCAAAGATACCCATTGCAAGCGGAGGAAGCACTGTAAAGAAGACATTGTAAAATGATAGCGTCCAGGATTCGTAGATGACTTCTCCAGAGAAAACATTTTGGAATGAATACTGTAGACTGTTAGTAGTAGATCAACTTTAAGAACTGTGAAAGGCATACCCAGAATTGTGTCATGTATAGCGTGATGTTTTTGTAGAAAGAATAGAGAATAACTTTGCAAACTCGTTGGTAACTCCATGCACCATGAACTAGGAGAAGTTTACGCAAATATCTGAATTGTCCGATCGCAACATCAGCACTTCTGGCGGCTTGTAGACCTTCCATACCACTGATACCAACACCAATATGGGCTGCTTGAATCATTGAGACATCATTCGCTCCATCACCAATAGCCAATAGGATAGATTTTTTGTTGCGTTTGACGAGCTTGACGACCAAAGCCTTCTGAAGTGGGGATACACGACAACATATGACAGCTTTACACATAACAGCAAGATCGAGGAAATCCTTCTCCAAATCCTTTTCAAGAGCATAAGTTAAAGATTTTCCATCAATAACCAAAGCAAGAGTTTCCATAGCAATGGTGCCATCGCCTTGTGTTCGTATGGCATCGAGCTTCTTTTGTATATTGTTCCTGGTATCCATTGCTGTTTCTTCATTGACGATGAGAAGAGTCATATCTTCACTGATAAGCTTACAACTCATTCCAATGTTGATGGCAGTTTCTTGACGATCTCCAGTTAATACCCAGACCTTGATGCCAGCCTCTTGTAGAGTATGGATCGTCTCGGGAACACCATCTTGCAGACGATCTTCAATCGCTGTAGCTCCAAGCAACGTAAAATCCCGCTCCAGAATTTCAGCAGCTTTATCCAATTCGTCAGCACGATTACCACTGACGGTAGTTTGTGCTTTATCAAAGACTGACCACCACTCTCGAAATTCATTTTCAGGAATTTCTCGCATTGCCAGACAAAGTGTTCTTAGACCCTCCGAAGCATATTCTTCCAAATGCTGAAGTGTGACCTCAACATGTGGGTTGTCTGGACCAAGCCGCTCCAGGATAACAGTATCAGCCCCTTTACAGTAGCATCTGATTTGTCCATCTGGACATCGAAAAATTGCCGACATTCGCTTTCTCGTCGAGTTGAATTCACAGACCGCAAGAAGCTCATACTCATAAACCTCTCCCCCCACAGTTATCTGTACAGATCTTGGCTTGCGTGCAGTAAACTGATAACCCATTAAAACAGCTCCTTCGACCAGAGCACCTTCATCGGGAGATGCTGCTTGATATTTGATAGCTCCGCCTTTCTCGTCAGATCGTTCAGGAATAACGGTATGGCAAGTAGATAAAAGGGCAAGAAAGTGATGAATAGCTAAAGCTGACTCATGTGTTTTGAGGTTCTCCTTAAGTCGATGGAAGTCATGGACCCCGACCTCCTGACCGTCGATATTGGTGGCTCGGCGATCTTCTGGCACATCCTCTGCGTATTGAATCCCACCGATAGAGCATTGCTTGAATTCCATTTGATTGCATGTTAATGTTCCAGTTTTGTCCGAGAAAATATATTCTACCATACCAAGTTCTTCGACTAAACTCGATGTTCGACAGACAGCTGGAGTATCAGTCTTGTCATGATACATGTCGAGATCGTCATTGATCAAAATTGCATGCCAGTATTTTACCATTTCGACGGTAACGAAAAGAGAAATTGGAACCAGAGCAGAATACAGAACCCAATAAGTGGCTATATCAGAAAAGAATTGCGAGACTTTTTTCGTCGTAGTGATTGAAGCAGAATAACCGAGATAGCTTAATTCTGCTCCCTTGACCGATCTCACTATAACATCACCCAATGAACTTATGACACTCAAAGCGATCAAGATAGCTACGAGCATTAGAACCAGTATATTGAGTTGGCGCTCCACAGCAGTCCTCTTTATCGGCGTTGCCGTCGCATTCCGCATAAGCTTGGTTTCGTGACCAGTAAATACAACAACTCCATGAATCCAGGGAGTATTACGTAGTGTTGCACCTCTGAGCAAAAGTTGATCTGGTTGCAAAGGAAGCTCCTTTTCTCCACCGCCAGCAGCCACAGTAAGTGTACCCTCATAGGTATATAGACTGCTATTCGGTTGTTCCGATCGTAATTTTCCGCCTAACCTACTGAGTTCGTTGGAACTGACCATCACACATGTTTCTGGAAGGGCCTGCTTGATTTTGAGATTAGTCTCACCGTCTAGATTGGCAGTCTCAATATAGCATAGTCCCTCCGGTTCCGAACTGGCTAGTAAAATGATATCTGCAGGAAATGACTCTTCAGATTCTACACGAACGATGTCGCCAACTGAAACATTGATCCATTTAGTATCCTCGAATGAAGACCCACGTAAAACACGAGCCTTTGAATTGTTCAGCGAAGTATCAGATGTTTTTCTCCTGTAATCCTCAACTACTTCTTTACCGGCAGATACCAAGAGGACCAAGATCAAAGGTCCGATGGTGGTGTATTGGTTCGTTGGGGAAATATCGGGTATCTGTTGTAATGCTGCAGTAAACAAGAAGAACAGATTGGCAAATTTAGAAAACTGCTCGAACAAGAATTTCGGTAGAAAGGTCGCAGTGTTGTACTTGGCTGTAGATATATGATTATCCACATATTTGCTTGCGCTGTTGGCAGGAGGATTGTTGAGATGTATGATTCTGGGACCAAGAGTTGAAGGATCTGGCTTTCCTCTACCAAATCCAAATTTAAATTTCCCCAGCTTACTTTCAGATTGTACAGGCGTTTCAGGTTCATGTGTATCTGCTCGATTCCTCGCCCCGGCTTCAGTCAAGGGTAGGTCCATTTCCGAATACTCAGCCCCCATTCCAAACATACTCTTCGCCTTGTCCATGATTCCACCTCCCAGGCTCATTATGCTATTGCGATTTCGACCATGACCCCTCATTTCAGCCCCGTCACCAGGGATTGCTGTTCCATGGTGATAATACTCCGAAGTATGCCCATCATCCGGAAAATCGTCCAAATCATCCGCATATCGTTGATAATTATTCAGTCCTGAAGTTTGGCTGTATGATGCTGAATTTGCATGAATGTATGGCGGTTGTGCTCCACTCGTTTGATAGCCAGGCCCTCCTGGGAGATTGTTGGTGGTAGATGGCGCAGAAGGAGATGGTGCGCCAACGAAGTTGTCGTAAGAAATTGAAGGTCTGGGGTTCGACTCATCATGATCTGCATTGTAGGCGCGCAAAAGGTCGTCATCATTCATAGGGGCGCGCTGCCCGGTGTGGTAAATTGGTTGTTCATCATGTAAATCGAGAAGTAAGTCGTCCCGATTATTTGAAGGCTGTCCAGCCATGCTGGAATACAGCTCGAGGTCGTCGCACTCAATGCGGAGATCAAATTGTAATCATGCGATTCCTGGTTGTCCAAAATAGTCGTGATGTTTTGCAAACTTGGAAATTCGTTGTCCTCTTCACTTGTTATAGTTGCATAGCCTCTTTATGAGATTTAGGGATGGCGGATGTAATG